TACTCCATAAGGGGGAAGTTTTCTGGCCCCCCCCCGGAGACGACTTTTGCCTTTTTGGTTTTTTTTTTTTTTTTGTGCGTGCATATTTTATCTCTTCGTTTTCATTTCTCCATGAGGCCGTTAAACAATGAGGACAGACATGCTTGTCTTCATCTACTGATGGGTGAGCCAAGGGTTTTGATCAGGAATGTCATTTACTCCTATCACCTTGTTAGCAGCGCAACCTGCTTCCGCAGGCCTACGACCTGTGTCTTCAGAGAACGGAGCTCTGCTCTGCAAAGAACAGAATGGAGGGCTGTCAATTGGAGGCTGAGAGTAAGTAGATGTCAGCGAGAAGTGCCCAGGTTTCTGGACCTGCGTTATATCATTGGTACTCTTCTCTACCCAGAGACAAAGGAGGAGGGGGACAGGGGAGCCTCTTTGACCCAAAGGGGGCAAAGCTAAAGCCTAAAGACATCCTCCTCGTTGTGGATATCCCAAGGGCACCACTGAAAACCATTTATGAGTCTGAAGGGGGGACTATATAATGGGAAGATCCTAAAATAAAATAACTTTCATACAAAAAGAAAATGTGTTTTAATGTTGATATCTCGAGGTGGGTCCTCATTTCCCCCCGAAGTCATTGTGACTACAGTTATGTGAGAACCTGAAGTAATGCAGGTGGAAGATTTCCCTGACTCAATGATAATTAAACAGGGAGATGCTGTGGGGTGACCATGAGAAGGCATATGGAGGGGTCTTCATCATCATAGCTGTTTATTGTGTGGACCCTCATGAAATGCTGAGGTAGCTGGATCCCTGGAAACTCTAAAATCTGAGCTAAAAGGGGACATGGTCTCAATGCTAGAATAAGGAGAGACGGAGAAGTCACAGGAGCTGTTTTAACTACCATCTTTAGTCTGTCTTCCCATGCTCTTCAAACAGCCAAGAGGTTAAAGGGAACCTCAGACATGACCCATTTTAGGCTCCTACTTTACATCGCATCTGGAAGACCTTAACTCCCTTCAGCTGCGTAAATGCCACAAACACTGGGCTATGCAGCCCAGAGGGAGAAGGAGTGTCGCAAGCAAGAGAGATCTCATCTGATGTCCATTAACTTCCTCCGTGCCCTTTCAAAGCCCTTTGCTCCCTTGCAGGAGCTATATCTTAGGCCCACTAACAGCTGTTGGCTGATCAGTATTAGCTATGCAGCAGCCATCCATTGGGTTGGATGTGGGGTACTTCATTGCGGATGATGTGGCTATCCTACCGGTAGGAAACCAAATTGTGATAGATTGGCCCGAGGAAATTAATATCCCGTACCAATACCTTCCTCCTTAGAGCAGAACAAAACTGAAATTCTTTTTTACGTAACACAATGGAATTTAATGACCAATGTTATTTAATTTATTCAGGACTTATGCAACATACAAATACTTGAGGACACTATAAGGTAAATGTTGGCTTAAACTGTTTAAACATACTCCCTAAAGTATAAATCTGCATTTTAGTGAACCGTCAGAAAATCCCACTATGAAATCATTTTCAGTATTTACTAGGAGTAAAACAGGTATTTTTCTTAGAGCCACTGAAATCAGCTGCAGGATCCGACCTTTCCTTTCAGGTGGTGGATATTTTTACAGACTGCTTTCTTGCCCCTGCAAGTAGAAGGATGTTTTGGAGATAAAAGAGTGAAGTGTTCACTGTAAAGGATTCGGGCTCCCTGCAGCGGCACGTTACAACCTCCGTTACTATTTTAGTACTCCTGTACACAACACCAGAATCTCCCTCATCTCAGCCCTTACCTTCACAGCACATGCCAAAGCTGGGCGGGGCTGTGTTACTCCTCAACTTCTCTCAGCATTGCTCCCTTCTCTCCCTGGTTCTTCCTCAGTTTCCTCTTCCTCGGCGGCTTGTGGATGCTTTTGGGCTGCATCTCCCCTGTATCTTGCTTCCTGTCCACTGCTTGCCATCATTTCACTTACCCCAACCTCCACTGGAGCACAGGGAAATCCACGGCATTTGTGGGGAGGATATAAGGGCCAGCAGTGGCGAATGGCAGCCCTTGGACCGAAGAAGAGGATGTGTACGGTTGAATGCATGGAATTGAAAGGCATTCACCTAGTAGATTCAAGCTACAGCTTGTAGGTAGAGGAATCAGATAATCAGATACCTCTTTTTTGCTCTTCTGTCTCTCGGACTTCTTTTAATCCGCAAAGAAGTCTCAAGTATACTAGCTGCAGCTTGTTCAAACTTTCCTCAGGAACACCCATCAGATAAAGCAGAGATAAGCTTAGATACCTGACTATTCTTCAGATTATACCGAGACCACAGAGAAGTCTCTAAATGGCAGATGTGTCCAGCAAATTGCTTGGCAGCTCCAATTTGTTTTTCCTTAACTAGCCATTAACTTTTCTTGCTGGATCTGACAGATCCAAGAGACGAGAATAGCAGTTTGCAGTCTCCTTAAGAGGACAACAGGGAGAGGAGAGAGTACGAGAGTGTACTCACCTGAACCAAATGGAAATGGGAAGGAACAGCAATAACAGAAAACTCATAGAAGTGAACAATCTTTGTCCAATGCAATGGCACTCCCGATAAACGCCACAGAAAGCATGTATTTCCCCTAAGGACTCTCCTTTTTGCACTTCAAGGGTATTGCGATGCTGATGGTAGCTGCCCTGCTACCGTCAGAGAGAAGGAAAGATTGCAGGACCCTAGGCAGTGAAACTGCCCTGTGCCCGATGATGAGGGAACTTCGTAGCAGCACTATGGAGAGGGTTGCTGGTGCTTTTCATGAGCACTCGAGTGAGTCAAGAGGGACAGGAAGGATGCGTTGCAAAGCCCAGATTTCCATATCTGTTTGGCCAATATTGTTAATACAAATGACAAAAATACAAAGGATATTAATGGCAGGAGTCCGCCCCATGGCCTTCAGCAACTTGCAGGACGCCCTAGCTTTTTGCCCCACGTCGCTTCCACCACTAGAAGCCTGGTGACTGGACACTTGCCAGTGCTTAGAACTGCCCCAACTCCTAATAGCTGTTCAGGTGACACTGTCAATGATAAGGCAGCCTGTCGTACCACTGTCCCTGCAGTCCCTCTTGTTTGCTCTGGACAGGGCCACCACCATCCCAGGGAGGCCGTCTCTTTGGGAGCGGTGTCATTCCTGCCCTGCATCACTGCGGGCTCTTTGCAGTGCGTGGACAGATACCCCACCCCCGCTTCGTCCGTTTGTGGCTCATATATCCATCCCGCGGATCCTTGTCTTCTCATGATCCAGCTACCCACCATTCAAGTGACACTAGAGACTATCTAACGTGAATAATCAGAGGATCTTCCGGACACCTGCCCGAAGGAGATCTATAGTTCTGCAATGGCGCCGTAATCCAAGTCACTTGTTTCCACTTTAGTGACAAAGATCCCTGGGAAGCTGTTTTCCATTTACATCCTGCTTTATACTCCGACAGAGTGGAAGCAGAAAACTGCAGTTAGTCAGCACTTGGAGTGCAGCTGGGCTGTGCCGGATCCTCGCGGGAGGCCCCCAACAGCGCCTGCGAGATCATCTCCGCCCTGTCCTCCCTCTCCAGTGGTTCCTGCAGCACCAGCTCCACCAGTTCGCTAATCCCCACTGTCCCGCACCTACACTCAGTGGTGACACCCCCTCCTCCCTTCACGTTGCTCCATCCACCCTCCTCCCTGCCGCCCCGTCCCACGTAGGTCCCTCACCTGTGCAGCCCAGTCGCCTTCTTCCCCGAGGTCGGCCACGACTTGTGAACACACCGAGCTCCGCTGGTCTCCTGGACCGGGGGGCATCCCGGCGGGGAAACAAGGGAAGAGGGGCCTGAGGAACCGGAACTCGCTGTTGACGGTCCCGGCAGTGAGGCAGACGTCGTACACGTAGCTGCGGGGCAGGGAGCCGGAGCTACCTTCCCCGGCAATCTTCGGGAAAACGGGCCCGGTCTCCGCCTTCCTCCCCCTGGCTCGCCGCACCTTCATAACCACGATGGCCGTCACGGTGGCCAGGAACAGTGCCGACACGGAGGCTAAGCAGATGAT